GAGAGAGAGAGAGAGAGAGAGAGAGAGAGAGAGAGAGAGAGAGAGAGAAGGCTTCATTTTGTGAACAGGAATGATGATCCCAAACTCCCAGAGCAAGTTCGGTGCTGCATAACTTCTTTTTCGATGTCTTCTTCTTCTACCACTTCTTCTCCACTTCTACTTCTTCTTCTTCTTCTTCTTCTTCTTCTTCTTCTTCCCCTCCTCCTCCTCCTCCTCCTCCTCCTCCTTTGTTCTCGTCTTCTTCTTCTCCTTCTTATGTAGCCTTGTGTGGTATGGCTTCCTTCATGTTTTGTGCCGGCGCAGGTATGCATTGGTCAGTGTTGGCAGGAAGTCAGGCACGCTGCAACCACCCCACTAACACCCCCACGACACCCCCTCCCCCTCGCCACTCACCCCCCACCCCTGAAATGCAGCCCACCCTCAACCCATGAATTTCCACCCCCCCCCTCCCCCCACCCCCAGGAATTTTATTTTTTCAGATCACTATTTTTTCTGCGGATTCGGGGAGATCTCGACAAGCGCAGTCCAACCCCATCATCAAAAAAATAAAAGTAAAAAAATTGACCTGGTTTTGGGCCCAACCGGATTTCCGGTTGGACCACCGGGGGTTCCAACCGGCCCAGTTGGGTCCGGTCCGGTCCAACCGGCCGGTGGCCGGTGCAGCCCTGGTTATTTCGGTATTGCTCATATTCCTTGCAACAGGCATTGCTTTTTGCTTTCTGAAAAGAAGGGACTTGGCTCCTGAATCCTGATGTCTATATCTTATAAAAGGCAGGATGTCAAAGTTCAATAGTTGCAGACCTTTCAGGTGTGTATCATTCTTCCAAATATTATGTTTTCAATTTCAAAGTTTGCAGTACATTACTGGCGTAGTTGCCAAAGATGTGTACCATTCTGTCACAGGACAGGTACTGTGTTTTCAAGGATTAGTGCATTACTTACTCCATTTGATCTGGGCCCTGTGGCAGATCAAATGGTACAGTCACCATGTACCATTTGATCTGCCACAGGGCGCATATTGTGTATCCAATTTCTTAAGGACCCGTGTGCGGGTGGCATAATCGCCACAGGTGTGCACTAGTTGCTCTGTACCATTTGGTCTGCCACAAGGCAGGTATTATCATTCCCACTTCTCAAGGACCAGTGTGTTGCTGGCGTAATTGCCATAGGTGTGTACCATTTTGCCAGCTGTTGTCAGGTACCATAGGTGAAATGGCATCCTCCTGGGTGCTGAAATGTTTCCTGGTCATAGAGTGCCCGACGGTGCATGCACCCCACTGGTCCATACCCTGACCTGCAAAAAAGAAAAAAAGTGTAGCAGGGACAGAAGGTTTCAGAACATCCTCTCATACATTTGATGGTCTTTGTATCAATCATTTCACTGCTTTGTTTTTCGGCCCCAAACAGATTGTGAGCCGTGCAGCATTCATGGAACAAGCTGTTTACATTGATTTCTTTTTCTTTTTTTTCCAACACACCACACCACACCACACCACACCACACATGCCCTATCCATTCTAGGGTGCGTCACTCAAGTTGCTTATCACTGGCAAGCCTGTTTACAACTTTACATTGATTTCAATTCCCCCCCCTCCTACCAATGCAGGTAAGTGGCAGCAGCTGGTCAAAAAGATAAAGGATGTGGGGATGAGAGTTGGTGTAGCGATCAAACCTCGAACACCTGTAGACGAGGTTTTCCCTCTGGTAAGTTTGTAAGCATCGAACTGGATGTAGCATGCATGATGATGATATTCATTGCTGCTGCAGAGAAAGAAAAAGTCCTCAGATTTAGAGTAAACATAAGGGATCTTTGGTACTCTTTTTTTCACTTCACAATGACATCCTTAGATTCCCTTTACTGTTCTTTCTCTCTGCATTCACCCAAAAAATGAAAATGCCCAAAACTGTTCCGAATCTGTTGATAGAGAACGGAAACAGACAACACTTAGGACACGAGACAGAATAAAAGAACAAGAGAAATGATGGACTGTTTCATCATACTCGCACCGACTTATCAGGAGGATGAACCCTATTGATGTTTTGAGCAATGATCCCTCCCCTTAACCCCTGTTGTAAGTGGATGAGCAATGGGGACATCGCAAGCAGCAAGACAAGGTTGAGGTAACAAGGCACTGGATGATAGGCAACACCAACACACATAAGCTGGAGGGCACTGCAGGGGTGGGTGGGAAACCAAGGAACAAGGCAAGTACCAGCAACTTGGCAGCAAGGTAGCGTGGCAGCATAAACAAGGCAGCCAAACAATAAGGCAAGCAGTGAAGTGGCCCTACGAGCAGCAGGCAACAAGGCAGCAAGACAGCCGACAAGGCAAGCAGCAGGCACCAGGCGGCGAGGGAGTAAGGCAACATGATGCATCACCAAGGCAAGGCAAGCAGCAAGGAAGCGAGGCAACATGCAGCATCAACAAGGCAAGCGGCAAGGTGGAACTATGAGCACCAGAGCAACCAGGCAGCAAGGCACGAGTGAGTGAAACAACAAGGTGAGCAGTGAGCAACAAAGCAGCAAGGCAGGAAGGAAGTGAGGCAGCAAGGCATTATGGCAACGAGGCAACAGCATGATGAGAGCAAGGCAAAAGGGCAGCAAGGCTAAACTAGGCAAGTAGCTGGCCAGCATCGACAAGCGAGGCTGTCCATTCATGCAGCTTGGACCAACCAGATCATCACCCACACCATGAGTTTAAAGACGTTTGGTTCCAGCCACCATCAGAGCCAGGGAGTCAATCTGATGAATGTTTCTCATTATCCTGGAAACACGCATACACATGGTATGTCTTAAAGGTACTGGACCTAGGTACTTAGAAAAATACCAGAAAAAGCCCAAACCACACAGCAAGTGGACAGCAACACAAAGAAACGACTTTCAAGAAGAAAGTAAGGAGTTATACATAATTTTGTGTGTGTGTGTGTGTGTGTGTGTTTTTATGATATGTATGCGAGGAAATGACATGAAATTCCACTGCCATTTATCTTCTCCGATGACACGTCATCGGCACATCTTAACACCTTGTAGCTGCGCAGGTATGGTATGCTTATCTGTCGTGGTAGGTGCGGTGCCTACTGAGGTAAGGTTGTTTCTGCGTTTTTCTTCGAAAAAGACAGTAGTTCCAAGTGCGGTCAAGACATAGTTCCTCCTGGGAGGCTTTTTATCCATAGAAGTCTTAAACAGGTCTAATGGCTCTAATCAATATTTCGGCCTTGTTACTATCCTGGCCAATTTCGAAGTACACATTGGTCAGAAAGTACAATGCCATCCAATTGCAAAAAGAAATGAATGAACTTGAGAGGAGAGAGAGGGAAAGATGAAGAAGGAGAAAGAAAGAAGAAGAAGATGATGTACACCAGCATAGACCAATGATAATGCTCTTCTTCTTCGCCAATGACTCTCCTCCTTATCTCCTCCCCTCTTATTCAAAGAAGAAGTGCAAGGAATATGAGTGAGAACGATATACGGAAAACCAAGGTGCGAAATCACACAGATGTCCAAGTAGTCATGTACCAAGCAGAGAGCATAAATGATCGAAGATTCCATCCACATAAGAGGGATACAATGAACTCATGAGCCAATGTTCAAGCCCTCAGGCCACACCAACACAGTATCCAATGTCGCTCCTATTGTATGGCGCCTAGTGCCCTTCCTACTCTACCTAGCCTATCCTACTACAGCCGCATTCACGCAACGGGCTCACTTCGACTTTGAAGACCAATGTACATGACGTCAACACCAATGCCGACCTCCCTCATGCACCAGGTATGTATCTCATCTCCCCTCATCACCCCCTGACCACCCACACTCGCCTCCTTCCTGAAGACCACCGATCGCCCCTTACCCCCTTGCGCCCTGCGGCCCGGCTATGGCCGCTCCCGCACCGCTGCCCAGCAGGGCCCCTCTCACCTCCCAAGCGCCCGCATGCGCCCTGGCTGCTAACGCAGCAAGCAGCCACTCGTGTAGCAACGCAGCACCGTGACCGCATTGCCTGCGTGGACCAGAATGCCCGACCCTGGCTGCCCTTCTTCCTATATGGAAGTGGCAGCCTCTGTTTGGGTGCCTGTGGGCCTGGCGGGGAGGCTTCCGGTAGCTTCCGGTCAGGCCCAAGTGCCTGTGCCCAGGCCCATCTCTCCAGTTGAGGGCCTGGGCCCTTTTCTGTTGAACACGCCCTGGATTTCCAGACTTTGGCCGTTTGCTGCATTTGCACAGGACCTGGGGTAGGTACGTCGACAATGCTGCTTTCTTGTAGGCCCGTAGCCACTTCGTGATGTATCTGCCTCGAAATGTGTGTGCCCAGGCGCAACTACCCGGACCTGAGCCCAACTGTACGGCGCAGCACATGTTTTCTGGAAAGAGCAGGGATGCTCACGTTTCCTTGTAACCAACTGGCGTGCTGCAACTGCCTGAGTACCCCCATATGGAAAATGTCAAATTTTGACCTCGTGTGGATATTCAGGCCCACCTTCACTTAGGGCGGGCACAGGGCTTGCTGAGGGCCTCTGCCCAGAACATGTGCATGTCTGATAAGGGACCCGCGAGGGCTCATTCCTTGCAAATGGCTGAACCAGAATCAATGTCTGAATCCCTCTTCTACTGCAGGCACAACATGAGGTCCACCATAACCATGACCATCCTTCCTCTTCCTCTTCATGCAGGCCAAGGCTATGGCGGACTACTAAGGGATCTGCCCTCCTGTCCAAAGGACAACACAAAGCAGCTACGTCCGAATCCCTCTTCTACTGCAGGCACAACATGAGGTCCACCATAGCCATGACCATCCTTCCTCTTCCTCTTCATGTAGTCCAAGGCTATGGTGGACTACTAAGGGCTCTGCCCTCCTGTCCAAAGGACAACACAAAGCAGCTATTTCGCTGCCCTCCTGTCCAAAGGACAACACAGAGCAGCTATGTCGCTGCCCTCCTGTCCAACGGACAACACAAAGCAGCTATGTCGCTGCTCATCAAGCCGCCATGCCTGACTCTGCCTCGAGCTTCCTTGGTGCGGCACTACCCCAACTGGGGCCTTCCAGATGCAGCGCCTATCAAGGTGATGAAGATGGTGTCCACTATAGCCAGGTAGGTACCTCGCCACTCTCCCCTTCAGTCCTCTTTTCCCTCCTCCCAGCAGTGCTGAAGTGCCCAGCCCTCCTCCAGCCAACGCTCCAAACAGTGTTTCGCCAAACTTGCACACTGAAGAATGAGGCTGAGCTCCTGGCTCAGCCTGAAGATATAGTGGCCTACTTGCCTCTTGGGCGGTGACTTCCAGGCCGCTTGGCCTCCCAAGCAACCGGTACCTCCTCCCTTTCGGAGGGAAACATCATTGCAGACTCTGATATTCCCCGTGCAGGCCCTAGAGTCAGACTGGTTGGACTGGTACCCGCCTGGACCTAGCCTTCAACTACTGGGCCTCTAAAAATGCCAACTTTGTCTTCTTCTGCTCGGCCTCGAGTACCCGCCACATCTACTTCTACTTGCTACGGTACCGGCGTACGTGCTACTTGAGTGTTTTCGCTGTCCTAAGTGTCGCGGGCCTCGTGCCCCGCGTGTTTTCCCCCGCTGCAACCCTCAATGTCACTGCCACAGGTAAGTACCGGCCCTACGGGCCTTCAAGCAAACAAGTACCCCTGCGGGTCACACACACACTCAGGCCGATCAGCACTCAGACAAGCACACAGAACATCAAGCACGCACACACAGACAGACTTGGAAAACTCAGCAGAAAGCGGGAATCTCAGCAAGGCATCCATTCCAGCGGCAGAACTCAGAAACCAGAAGTGTTCTCAGTCTGTGTTTTGATGGGTCATTACAGCCTTCTCAAGCAACTGAGGGGGGGTCGTGGCTCGTATTATTGTAACGATCGGTACGGTAAGGGTCCACGGTACGTCGTTCACGACAGGACCTCAATCGGCACATTCGAGAAGGGGCGAAAAAAAGGGGGGAAGGGGGGAGAAAAAAAGAAAGGGAAAATAAAAAAAGGAGGGAGGGGGTCTCGATAGAGGGAATTAGTGCGAAGGGAACATTCGTGGCGTGTAACGTTTTTTTTAATCAGAAAGCAGACGAGGGACCCTTGAACAATTCTCCCTTTTTTGAAAAATTACTCTGCACATGTCATTCCTATCTCTATTGAGTGAGCCAACTGCTTCCAGCTCCATGAGCCTGTGCATCTGAAAAAAGGCCACCGGATCATGAAGGTAGGCGGTCAGTTGCTCGTCAATAATAGCAACATGAAGATAAAGCAGAGAGCTACGAATTATCCAAGGGGTGGGGGACAAACAGGCTCTTATAAATCACAACTCGAGTTCCCATAAAAAACAGAATTACCACCCATCCGGTTCTTCGTTGATCAAAATTCCTTCTGTCCTTAGCCCATGCACCCGTGCGTTCTGTTCTAGCACCAGATCATGGATGCAATCAGACTTGTCTTCCTCGACATTCAGCATGCGCACAAACAGATGTCCATCACACTGGCGCACCAGCGCCCACACAAAGCTCAGAGATAATGAAGCCGAGAACACAGTTCAGATTCGAACTTGACCCGATCGGCTATGGCCGATCGCTGTAACTCAGCAACTTGTTTGTACACACGCAACTCTGTCCCTGGATGTTCCACACACACACACACACACACACACTCTCCCTCTCTACACACACACTAACACTACTAACTGCTGGCGTGGCGGCTATGACCGCCGTCTCTCT